AAGTCATGAAATTACCCAAAATGCTAAGCTTGATGCTCTTGGTGGCTGTTCCCAAATTGTTGGTGGCTGTGAGAGTGTATACGGCGCTGTCATCTCTCTTTGACTGCTGAATTAACAGGGTGCATTTCTCATCAGAAACAAGTTTATTGACATGTTTGTCATACTGTACAAGTGCTTTGTCATCAGGCTTTTCCTGTGGAGCCTTGTGCCAGACAAGAGATGGGAATGGGCAGCCTTGAATCCTGGCAACAATGCTGACATCATATCCTTCTGCACCTTCTAAAGCCTCTCTGAGTTCAATACTTGGACCACCTAAAAAAGATTGAAAAGAAACCTTAGGAAATAACTAACAGCCATATTTCAAGAAACTTAATACAAAAAAATTACAAGATCTTGTACTCACATGTCTGGTCCTTAATGACAACTGGTCCGGCAGTAACAGAGGGTCTGCTTGCGCCAGCTTCATTCACAGCTTTAACACGGAATTCATACTCGCCACCTTCCTTAAGGTCTTCAACAATGAAGGTAGTCTCTTCAACATCTCTCTTGTTACACTGTTTCCACGTCTCTTTCTGTGGACCACTGGTATCCCAGCTCAGCCTCTCAATGATATAATGTTTTACTGGTGCTCCACCATCATTCTTGGGAGGCACCCATGTCAGGGTCACAGTGTTCTTGGTAACAAGGTTAATTTTCACCTTGGTAGGAGGATCAGGAGGATCTTTACATTAAAAAAGAAAAGAAAAATATTGTTAATTTAAAAAAAATAAGATGCATGTGTGATGCTTTTCAAAATATTAAAGCAACCAACTTACAGATAGGATCCCTTGCCCTAACAGGCTCTGTGGTCTCGGTAAACGGTCCAAAGCCAAGGCGATTCTCAGCACGAACACGGAACAAGTAGTCCTGTCCCTCGAGGAGGTTGGACACAACAAAGGCCATGCTGGCACAAGTAGCGTTGGCAACTGTCCAAGCCTTTCCATTCACAGCCTTCTTTTCAATAAAATAACTCTTGATTCTCTCACCACCATCATTATCTGGCAGTTTCCAAATAAGTCTCATTGTGGTTCTGGTGACATCAGTAACTTTGAGCTCTTTGGGTGCTCCAGGAACATCTGGAAAAAACATTATCAGTTTACTTCATAGCACAACATTAATTTGGCACAACAGTGAATAGTTTAATTTCAATATGTATATATATATACAGATATATGAATATGTAGTAAACTCACCAAGCACATTTACTCTGACATTGACATGCTTCTGTCCTGATTTGTTCTTTGCTGTGATTGTGTACCTGCCAGAATGGCTTCTCAAACTCACAGGAATTGTAACAACTGAGGTAGTGTCTGTAGATTCAACCTAATCCCAAAGATAATTAATGAATACCAGTCTTACAAAGATTCAGAAGAAAATAATAATTATTCATGTTTAAAATTAGAGAAAGATGTTACCTGTGAATCCACTGGTAAAACATGGAGACGATCCTTCTTTTCTGTCTTTGCTTTGCCATCAAACTCCCATGAAACTTTAGGAACAGGACGTCCTGTGATGGTAGCTGGAATCTTAAATGGAGTTCCAGCACGGATACAGAGCAGTTCATCAGCACTGATATCCACGAAGATCTTTGGTGCAGCTGTGGAATTAAAAGAATGCATGTGACTCTAGAGGATGCTAATTTGTATTTCATTAAAAAA